CTTGAATCCAAAGTTCCTCTGTACACTTAAATGTTCATGATTCTATCAAGAAATACAAGTTCACAAGAACAACCTCCGACTTAGATATCCCCACCCTCATGCTTCACTTTACTCTTAGTGCAAACTGGTTGTAATACTTCACTGGGGTTTCTTTGTGGAGGCTGAATTCTTGTCCCAAAACAACACACATATCCAAGAGCTGCTGCTGCCTTTCTGCTTTGTTTTCTGCAGATTTTATTCTGTCTGTCGTGATCGTTGAGCTTAGAAATAGTTTCTCCGTCTGTGCCGCTGCTTGTTATCCTGAATGCTCTGTGAACTGAGTTGCATCATGTCATTCTCACTGATCTCTTGAGCAGTCCTTGCTGCTGTGTCGTCTATTTTTCTTGACTTTAGACATGATCATACAGAGCATCTCCTGTTCTCACTCACAAGTCCTTCATGTGGAAACTTTGTGATAATGTACCCAGCTATTGAGGATGATTAGTTTTTGTCTATCTGGTGAATCAGAGTGGCCCTTTCACTTATCTTTTCCACTTTTTTACTTGCTTTCAACATCCAGTTGCATAATTCACAGAGGTGCCTGTGGTAGAGCAACCACATGTGTAGTCCTCAAGTTAACACTGGTCACGTTACATTAAGTTGAGAATCAGGACAACATGTTTTTGTGCTGTTTAGGGTCCATGTCAAATGGCCTCAGGAAAAAATATGTACTGATCAAGGCCTTGGTGGAAGCTTGAGCGCTTGTCTCAAGGTTTTTCGTGATGCTGTGTTTGAGTGTGATGTAAAATTTTAAGCCTTTGGTTTATAGCAGTGAGAAATGCTGCAAACAGAAAATGCTCCGAAGGCCTCAGACATAGTTGGTGCTGCTTGTTTACAGTGTCGGTGTCAGTGTATGTACTATTACCTCCGTGCAGCCACACTCTCATTATGTTGTACCATCATTAGGCTGCCAGTTACTAAAGTGGTGATGTAACAGAGGGAGTCATGTTATCCTTGTGATTTTTCAAGTAGAACAAACTCAGAGCCATCAAATTACCTCTTAAGACTCATTGATACAAATTTGTAGCTTGTAATAAACCCTGAAACTAGAATGCTATCTCTCTGCTGCAAAGTTCTTTTCTAAACAATGCCTGAGGCCGGAGACTAGAAAGCAGCCCGTCTATTCAAACGGATTTGTTTTCCTCATTATCTTATCGCCAGTTGGCGCTACTGTGTGTCGCCGTGGAGATGATGGTAAACTGCAGCAGTGGGAGGGGAGATGGAGAGCAGTGAATGGGGCCCAGCTATCAGGGAGCTACCATGTCCCTGCGGATCATTAAATTTTCAGCAGGTATGCACCTGTCTGGGGTGCAACCGGACAATATTGGTGCTGCAGAGCACAAGGTTAGGGCCTGGACAAGCTGCTTATCCTGCTAAGGTCATCAAAGTCAAAAGAATTTAAACAACAGGGCTGCTTAGCTCAAACACTGAGTGGTAATTACATTTCTGTTACTTTATGGCAGCAGTAAGTGATCATAATTGGTAGTTGTCGTAGATACCAGCACAGAGCACATCCTTCAGTTCAAGGGTTAATATTTACTTTTTTATCCTTTTATAGCCACATATGGACAATATTACTACTGGAAGTGAAAAACAAAGTAAGCTTCAGCTATTTTACTGCAACATCTCTGAGCAACACATCTACTTGTTAATGCTCCTGTTACCTTCAAATTTACTGACATCTTTTATCCTTTGGATCAGTTTGACACCAGCAATTTACACCTCCAGAAAATGAGCATAATTAAAATTATTACTCAAGTTTATGTGTAAATAGCCCTTTAAATAAAACTGAAAAGGTGATGTCAGTCACTTATTTAGAAACTTTAAACATTGAATGGGGTCAAATCAAGCCCAAAGATAATAGGAGGGTTAATTTACTGTGTTCGTTATGTGCATTTTAATTGTATTTAGTGTTGCAATGCACTGCAGCCATAAACATGTCAAAAAACAGCCTGTCTGGTAGCTATAACTAGAAGCATAAATGGAAATATGAAGAATTTCTTTAGAGGAAAAACAGTTAGTGTATTCCCTCACTGTTTACTCCTATAACTGTTAGTGTAACTCCCTGAAGAATTTGTGCAGTTCAAATACTGTCACATTGGCTACAAACACAATTTAATGCTCAGGAATGAAACCACTGTAACACCCCTTAGTGGAATTACAGAATTGAGCTTAAATTAATTGGCACGTATTTTGATAATTAATTAAACAGTTTGAGTAGTTTTTAAGATTAAAAAAAAGCAATTCTCTGATTCCAGCTTGCTAAAATTGGCTATATTTTTGTTTCTTTACTCCTCTATGACAGTAAACTGAATATATTTTGCTTGTAGACAAAACAAGTCATTTGAGGACATGGTCTTTTGCTTTAGTAAACACTGATCGACATTTATCACCATTTTCTGATGTTTTATAAACCAAACAACTGATGTATTAATTGAGAAAATGATCAACATATTAACTGACAGTAAAAGTACATGTCAATTGCAGCCATTTAACAGACTATACATATATACGGTGCTGACAGGCTGGAGACCAGAAATATTTGACGAACTGATATTTAGCCCACTTACTTACTTGGTAATTCTTCAAAAATATATGAATCTAATGATAAATTATCGTGTATAAGCTGTGTAACAACTGCTGAATATTGTTTCATAATGACACATCGTATTGCAGTCAACCTTATTGGTGTTTTCTGCAGTAAAACGTACTGAGTCGGCTGAACTGAAAGTGGGATTGCATCTCTTTTTAGCAGACATTACCTGCAAACAACCTGTTTATGAAGAGTTTATGCTGCTCATTCTGTTCTTACAGCTCTGTGTCAGCTCTGCTCTCCAGAATAAACTGAATCAATCAATGCCTCGCCCGTGTCCATGGTGCTAATATGGTCCATATGGGCGAGCGCTATCTCTGACACAGATGGGTCTGACTCTGCACTGATTAGGGATGACATTCACTAAGGAGCAACTGCACGGACACAAAAGCATACACGTCTTACTAACAGGATTAGTCAATTAATTAATTACTTGGTTGACAGAAAATAAATCAAGCGACTCTCGTTCCAGCTGTAACTTGGAAAGGTCTTCCTTGGAAAGAGGTTGCTAACTAATGTGGGACTAACCTGGTTAAAGAAACACTACAAGTTGTTTAAGTCGTTTTCGTCGCACTAATTGACAAACATTTGTTGGCTTCAGCTTCTCTAATGAGAGAAACTGCTGCATTTTTGAACTTGCATCTTAGGAAATAGATTATTTTGAACTGCTGAGCAAAGAAAACCTTTTTGTTTTCACTGTTTTCTCTTGTTTGTATAGATTTTTAATCATCCAAGTCATGATGATCATATGAAATCCATAGCAGATAAGTCCTCTTTGGTTTTTGAAGACATTTTCTTTCAAGAGGCTTTTTTTTCCCCCCAAAGAAATCAACTATTTCCTGATGTTTTATTGACCAAATGTCAATTGCTTGATCAAGAAAAGAATCTGCAGAGTAATAGATAATGAAAACAATCCTTGAAACGTCACATCTTACCAAATGCTGTCATACATAATTTAACACAAATATTAAATCATGCACACTTGCTGACATGTCTGTTAACGAGGCTCTCATGCAGCCAGACACCAACATTATTGAAATTTCTTCGGGTGCATTACATAAGCAGCACAGGGCTGTTGTAGTAGCGTGCAGTATTTTGGGAAAGCTAAACCACTAAGAGGTTTTTGCTTTGTTTCCTTAATGGGATTTGAACACAAAGCATTGAGATTGCTCCACAGGTATCAAAAAGCGAAGTTCAAGTTGCTTCTAACGAGTGCCAGCTGATTCTTTAAATAAAACCAGCAGCATGAGCCCTAATCCGTATGTTTCCGCATCTGTTGTGAGTCGTTTGTTAAGCATGTGAGAAGAAATAAGAGTTGATGTGCTGACCTTTGAGAATCTGGCAGATCATTTATCAATGTCAGACTTCTAAAGTGGCCCAAGTCTGAAATCTGAATCTAAACAGAGGAGCTGCTATATTCTACTTCAGTTACAAACAGCAAGAAAAACCTGGTTAGAGCCTACAGAAATGTCTTAAATACAACTTAAAATTAAAAATGTGCCGCAGGTTTGATGGATGAAGGGAGTGTTATCTGGTACCAGGTCAAAGAAAGAGAAAGTAGATTGTGGTAGATTATAGTTCAGTTTAACATCTTATGAGGATCCATCCAAGCATTTGTAATGTAAATAATTGTGCTTATATATTGAGCTGTTTTTTCTAACTTTGTCAGATCTGAGTATCTAACAGCTGTCTTTCAACCTATGATTTTCATTAAAATTCACAGCTTCAGAAACATAAATTAAAATGTATTTGAAAAGAAAGAACAATGACCAGTCACAAAGAGTAGGAATAAAAGAACATGATGACATAAAGTAACCTCCAGAGGCCCACACACGTGAGCACGGATCAGTTTTTATGCTCGACATTATGACGTGATGATAACAAATACAGCAAAATTCAACTTTATCATTAAAATTGAACTTGTTAACAATGAGAGGCACCACATTAGCTGTCGTCTGAATTGGTCTGCTAACAAATTTACGTCTCAGAGAAAGGGTCTCTGGATTCTGTGTGTTGCTTTGGAATTTTTTGCTTCTCAGTCCGCTACACATTACATTTTGATTCAAATACCACTCTTAATTTGACATATTTAGATTGAATCTTGTACAATTTCTGTCGAGCATTGTGTGTTTTAGGTAAACAAGCATTGGCACCCAGCTCGCTTGTATCGCGTGTTTTCTAAACAAAGACATTTGTAGTCCCTGCTCAAAGGATCAACTGAAATCCGGCAAGTTACCAGATTAAGTGACAATCAGGCAGCGGTAAGAAGAAATCAGCAACTTATAAATCACGCAAACAGTTTCTAGTTTCAAGCAGAGTGACAGGAAGCCTGCAGGTTGCTGCAAAGACAAAACTATGTTGCTCTTACTTTGGGCTGTGCCCCAGTAACAGTCGGAGAGAGGGCAGGTCTCCCTTGGCAGCAGCGTAGTGAACAGGTAGGGCGCCTGTGTCGGTGGAGGCCCCAGGATCCACCTCGCCACTCTTTAGCAGCCAGTCGGTGATCTCGTGGTGGCTGAAACGGGATGCAAGGTGGAGGACAGTAGCACCGGAACTGTCCCTGTCCTGCAAATCAAACAAAAGAGGTGAAATAAGGAGTTTTGCAACGGCATGATTTTATTTCCTTTTTGCATTTTAGAAAAAGTTCTGAGCAAAATTGTCTAACAGTGCAAAAAGGTGAAAACAAGAGGTGCAGGCTTAGACTGTGAATCAGCTGCAATGTATTGTGTGCTCTTATAGATATCAGCTAGTTAGTCTTACTGACAGAGCTGCAGCACATCCAGCAGAGGGACAAGCGAGAATTAGAAACAACCAGTGTCATGATTTAAATGATATCTGACTGAGAAAATTAGTCAAACGCTACACTAAGCAGACACACAGAATTTTACAAAATATGAGGTTTGGGTTTCCATATCCTCTCTTCATACTTTACCTTATACATATGAAGAGTTCATTTGCAAAAACAGGTAACTACATCTTCACAAACCTTCAGAAAACCCACTTCTCCATCGTCTACCTGAGACAATATCAATCAAACTTGTCATGTCATTTCTACTGAGCCAAACCCACTCAACTTCAGTTTATCTCAAACAAACAACAAAAATAAGGTCTCTGAAAATCTACAAAAATTGAGTTATCTGTTTTTGCAAATGAACTCTTCATATTATTACTCTTTGACAATAGAAACAGAAAATAGAAATGCTGTTTGGATAGATTTGTATGAACAACAAAGAAGCTGCAGTCTGAGGCAGTGAAGTGCCACAAATTAATGGCATTAGCATCAGATAAAATCATGATTAGAATTGGGAAACACAATGGTGAGAAGTGGAAGCTAGCATGGGGCGCCCATCAAGTAGATTACCCCGCGAGTGGTACCCGAGAGGTTGTACTACTAAATGTCAGCCAAGAATCTTATCAGTTAATTTATGCCCCTGGTTGCTCTTTGTCGCTTTTCTGCGCTCTGTCAAGCAGCCCTCAAAAGTAATGGAGACAGTAGGTGGATGACGGAGCTCGTATTACTGTTTCAAATTTAGAATCAGAGGCTACTACAGGTCTGTAGGACTCGAGCGCGGTGACATAATGTGGTATAAGACGAGACATAATATGGGTCAGCTCTGTGGCTTAGTCAGTGGCGACTGTCGCCTCAGTTCATTAAGGTCTTTGGGATGAATCCGACCTAGCTGGCTGGGTCGTCTACGTGTGGAGTTTACATGTTCGCCTTGTGTCTGCTCTGGTTTCCTCCTACAAACACTGTCATCATCAACATCATTGTTACAGAAATGGGATAATCTAAACTGCACCCAAGAGTGAAAGTTGTTTATGTCCTTCTTTCTTGTTCCTTTAAGTGTCTGGTGACCTTTCCAGAACCAGCTTACCCACTGCATGCTGGGATACTCTGGAGTATGTACAATGACTTTGTACAGAAAATATGAACGAGGATAATCTTTTTTACGATATATTAAAGAAAAAGCAACCTGCTGCAAATGTTACAGAACCTATAGGGCCACATCAGACTGTAGAGCCAGCTCTAGATATAGATATAACCCTCACTCTGAAACAAGTAACAGACACAACAGTTAATGTTTCAGCATTCGTCCGAGTAGATTTACATCAGTGTACAAAGAACTATGTGGGAGGTGTGTACATTTTACCACCGTGTGCAAATTTCTGAGGTAAACACACGATCCGACAGTTGTTATTGTTAGAGTACAGTCACTTTGCATTTCACTGCACAGAGTGAGTGAGGATATGACAAAAAAACCTCTTAAATCTTGAGTTACTGATTTTGCATCTTGTGGTGAATCCTGAGGTTCATGGAGTGTTCTCGTGATTATAAATGTACGCCTCTGTCCAGGAGAGACTCGCTGTGCATTCATGCTGGGGTTTCTTTCCTCAGTCTTCCAGTTTGTTTGCCGTTTTCTACTTTTCCTGCAAGCATTTTTAGAATGAACTGTTGTGACTTTAGCAAACCAGCTATCTTTGATGTCCCTCTCATAGATCACCTGATCACCCTTTTACTTGTCATATTCACTCCGCTATTTCACTCTAAATAGCAACTCTTAAAAAACTTTGAGCCACATGTGAGCTCTTTGCGCATTCTCATCAGAGAATGTCACTTCACTGGTAAAACTTTGCAGTCCTTAAAAGCAACATAACCCCCACAGTGTTCTTTTACTGCTGATGAAACCTTCTCAAACCAGCTTTTAGTAAAACTCCTTCAAAGTAGCTGCTCTATTTGCATGCTACCTGAGAGCACTTTGCATTTACCAGCAGGAACACAGAAATGAGGTGGTCAAGTTGGAAAGTTTTAATCCGTCATTGATGGTAAAACCTGCAGCACCAAAAATCTCTCCCACTCTACCTACACCTCTGTCATGTACTCCTATTTCTGACCTCCATGAGTTACTGTTTGTCCTGTATAAAGGTTAATACATTTGCAAATCCAGTTTTGCATGTTTCATTTCCATGGGAACACGACGCAGTGCAGCAAAGTAGGTATTAACCTGAAACCAAAAACCTTCATTACGTTTCTCATTCTCTGCAGTTGACAGAATTTTATGTGTACTTAAGTTGCTTCAATTTCTTTATTCCTATCAGAGGATAAGCATATGCTGCTTTTCAGAGTGCCAGCATGCAGGCTCTTGAGGATGTCTGAGGAGCTCTTCCTTTTGAAAGGCAGGACTGTGTGTGTTTCCTCCCAGACTGCTGGACTGTCATCATGTTCTGACATCTCCTCACAGCTTGATGCCAAATCCTTTTATTGGGGATTTTTTTTTTGCAGGCATTTTCCATCTTGGATGAAGTAATCTTTTGTCATCACCATCATTTAAAGTAGAAGCATTGTACAGTTTTGGAACCTTAGAGGTGAATTAATCGTGTCATAATTAGGTTTATTAGCCTTGTGGTCAACTGCCTGGTATGTCTACCCAAACAGCAACACACAACATACCGTAGAATGTATGAGAAAAGTGTTGATTTGACTTAATTTTCAGTGAAAAAGTCATCTATCTCTGGGTTTTCTCTATTGAACAGACTTGTTGTATTAGTAGGCTAAGAGCTTAGTGCCCCTGGATGACCTAAATGTTGTATTTTTCCAACTTAAGGCTTGAAAATACACTAAAAGTAGTTGGGGGATATGGTAAAGGATTTTAGTAATTTGGCTACAGAGCTGAGACACAGCAGCCAGGTGGAAGGAAACAGAGTTAGAAGGCTTTTTGCTCCCCTTAAGTCACTCACCTCTGGCCGACATCCTCCCTGGGTCAGCAGCCACTGTAAGCAGGCCAGGTTGCCTGTGGCCGCTGCGTCATGCGCCGGGCTCGCCCCATTGTTCGCCAGGCAGTTCCCCGGCAGTCCTGCGTCCTCCACCAGGAAACGCAGGCAGGTGAGCTTCCCGGCCCGGGCCGCGTGGTGGACGGGCGAGGCTCCGAGCACATCCTTGACGTCGTTGGTGAGCGCTTTTGCCGCTAATTGCACTTTGAGAGTCTGCACGTCCCCTTGCCTCGCGGCGAGCAGCGTCCGGTCGCCCTCCACCACCATGACTGGCGCAGACTGGGACACTCCTGCCGTACGGTTGCCTTCGTTGACCCCGATCAGCTTCACCGTGCGGATGAGGTCAGCATTGTATTTACAAAAGCCTCAGATCACGTCAGTCAGCGGGTTAATTTTGTGGAGCGGCTCAGTTATCCATCCGTGGATCTCCAATGCGCAACGGTGAATTCATTCGCCTCAGTTTATAAGCAGCGCATTTTGAACAGCGACACCTGTTTACATGTTGAAATATACCCAGTCCATTATTAATTAGCTGAATTACAATCTCTTTTCTTATATTTTGCTCGACGCTGTGGCTCAGGTGTCCGCTTCTGTTCTCTCTGTCGCGCGTAAAATCCCAAACACCTGTTGCGCAAAGTTTCGTCTCCCAGTCAACTAATTCTATTTAACCAATTTATTTACCCGCTTTGGTGCCAGGATAACCGCCTCATGTGTGGAGCCTTTGGAGAATATTCCTGTGTGGTGTGTTTTTCTTCCCTATAGTAGCAGATGGCGACATGGGACTCAGCGCCTGTTAAATAATCCATCAGGGGGAGGATCGCTGAGCCTGTTACAGTTTGCTGCTTTCCTGAAATCGGCTCAGAAATTAAAGGAGCAGTGCAGACAGGCTGCTCTGAATACTCCAGAGAAAGTTACACAACTGTGGACGTGGTGGTGGGTGTCAGTCAGGCAGCTATTGAGCCACAGCTAAATACCAATTCAGCGATGGACTTTTTGAACACACGCCCAGTCCTGTTTGCATACAGCTTCACCTGCGTTAATTTTACATAAGCATCACTGGACACCTGCAGGTTGGTCACTGTAGAGGTCCATCTGGTGGCCTTTTGTAAAACTGAACCACTAAATATTGTTTCTTTGTTCAGTGAGTCGCCCCTTTGTAGGAACTATGTCTGCTTTATTTTAGAATATGAATATTAAATATCAATAACCTTTCACATGTAGCTACACAAGAAATATGATTAAATGAATTTAAAGGTAAATTAAATAATAACAAGCTAAAATTTTGTTAGAAAATCCTGAAAAGATGCCCCACATGGGTTGTCTTACCTCATGGGTCATTCAGGCTTGTTATTGAGGCACAAGACTAACTTTATTTTCAATTTTTGATGCAGCTTTGACTTTAACTGCAACATACAGTATGCTACATAACACATATTGGAATTGTTTAAGGTGTTTTGCAAACTGTTTGATTATTGCCAGAAATGATGGGTCAAGGACAAAACTTTGTTAGAACTTTATTATCATTGAGATTTCAGTTCCTGACATAATGATGTCAAACCAACAGGAATGCTTTGCCGACATTTGCAAAGAATTCAAAGTCTTTCACATCTGAATTATGTAAATGTGCAGACTAACGGATATCCCTCCATATGGCTTCCATGTAAACTCAGATTTTACTGACAGAAAACAGAATGTGGAGCTTCGGTCACAAATAGTATTATTACTGTCTCCAATAATCAGTTATTTGTTTGATTTTTTAAATGTCAAAAATGATAGAAAAGGCCCCAAACCGCACTTCTAAAACATAAACCATCACTCAAGTCAAAGAAAAGCAACAACATCTCATATTTACACCTAAAACCAGCAGATGATTGATTTATATATGCTATGTACATATATTATTCAAAAACCACAGGCTTTTTTTGTGCTGTGAAAATATTACATCAACCTCAAAGCTACTACTTTTCATTTCAATGTTATTTAAAGGTTAGTAAGGCTGCTATCATCCAAGAAAGGACCTGAAATATAAAATTGACTACATCTTGTCGTCAGGACCCCAATTTATTCTAGTAGCACGAATTCAATATCTTGTTGTGGACATTAAAAATACTAATCCGTGTGTTACAGACACCTGTTTGGAGCTAATAAATGATCATAATAACCCTTTTGTTACAGTGACATTATGACAGTTTATTTCAATGTGTCAGAGCTTTTATTGTCATGTAAAGCATCATAAAGGACTTTAGTCACATCAGCTCATCTTTTCTAGTTTTCTTCAAGTAAATCAGTGAGTTTTGCAAATTTCACGCAATTGAACTTTAAATGACATGTTTTCAGACCATTTTAGAATTTAAAAGCTGGAGTTTTGGTGGCTGGAGTTCACTCAACTCAGTAAATCTATTTAATAAGAAACAAACTAACATGTAATCAGATTTGAAGTAAGCAGATCTGTTTAAGAAAACACACATGGTACAAACTTGCTGCGTGTTGTGGTACATTAAGTTATTGTTTGTTTTGTTGTTGTTGTTGTTATTTGTACAGTAATCAAACCGGTTCTAACCATGACAAAGGTCAGTATTGAATTTGATCTCTACATCTGTGGACTTCTTTATCTCAGTGGGACCGTGTGCAGCCTCACAGACTATCTTTGTTCTAACTCTGGTGTCCTCAGCTGAGGCTGTAACTCCTCAGTGGTAAATGAGGAAGAAACTCTTTAAACTTGGAAATACTAAAGAAAAAAAACTAACCCTGCCTGCAACCATTGTCTTTGACGGGCTGATTCAACCCAACTCTTTAAGTTTGTTGAACTTGTTTTCTCATGTTTGGCTAACTTCACTTATTTTTAAGGCAGCAGAGAACCTATGTATTTAAGCCGGATAATCTTAAAATGATCAATAGTGTGTTTATCACAACAGATTCCTGACTGGACGTGAAGATTTAAATTATTTTGCAGCATTTAACAGCAATTACAGAGAACCAAATAACTTTAAAACCTTGTGAAGACCTTAACAGGCTACATAACTGATGAGAAACACATAAAACCACCAACTCAAACAGCTCAAGGGCTGATGTAAGAGGGCACTCTATCAACTAGACAAACAACGCTACAACAAGCAAAATTGGGTTGATCAAAGCTGAGGGGATTCATATATATATATATATATATATATATACACACACACACATATATATATATATATATACACACACACATATATATAGTCTCGGTCGAATCTATCTATTCTCCACGTGTTCACTGTTTACTTGAACACCGACTTTTAATACTTGCTGATTCATTTGAGAAACCGAGACAACGTAAATTTTGCTGCATCTTGCAATAGCAACAGCAAACTAAATAACTTTAAAACCTTGTGAGGACCATAACAGGCTACATAGCATAACTGATGCATGACAGGGAGTCATTTATTACTTCTGAGTAACGAATGGATAATAATGAAAATATTTTGAGTTTCTTTTTTTTTATTGTGACATGTGCAGGTGTTGAACTAAGAACATTTACCTAAGTGCTGCCATTCATTATCTTATGTGACTTAATATTTTTAATCCACTACATCTCAGAGGGGAAATAATAATAGTAATTTATGGCACAATTATCTGAAAGAATTTTAAATTAACAGCCTTTAAGCTGGATGTCTAATATTTTACAAAGTAGGTCAAATGAGCTTCCCTTTAACCAACCTCTGTAGCATGCTGCAAGTTAAGGAAGCAGTGATCCTCAGAGACTTATGTTAAAAAAGCATTTTAACTTGTGATAATTTAGATTTTGGTGGTGATACTTGTGTGCTTTAACCGAATTTTGAGGGCAGGATTTTATTTGTAACATCATTTGCACTGTGTTAGCCGGTTACATACCAAGTGAAACAAGTGGAAAATTTATCCTATAGTGCACACACCAAGTCAAATAACTCACCGGAGCCTACAATCACGGTAAATGTTTAGCAGCTTTTGTTTTCACTTTAAAAAATAAAAATAAAAAATGCTGTTAATAGCATCATCTTAGAGTGGTTTGACTGAACTGCAAGGTCAAGTTTAAAAAGCAAGCCTGTGCAAGTTATGCAAATAGGTTGTCCATGAACCTGACCTTGTGATGAGCTGTAATACTTTTTAGTACCAAACGGTGGCAGGAAAGTCTTCTGTTGTGCAGTGCAGCTACCTGAACCTGCAAAGGTGTTCAGGTGTCAAGGCATCATTTTGTGTTAGCTGTTTGAAATCTGTGTAATCTGCCTCACACATATGGGACATATAGATAAACCACATGAGAATAAAGACTATTCATGACAGTTTTTGGTGTTTAATATTTATATGGATACAATAACTCAGCAGTTTGTCATTACTTTGAGAGCCTTTTTCTGTACTGTCAAAATAGGATGGTGTTCAAACTCTATTTTGTTTATAGGCTATGATATCTGAAGTCTTATTATAGGGGGTTTTTTTGTGGGATAATTTTGGAAAAAATCAGAAAGTGATAAAGATGTTCATCCTCCCACCAGCTCCTGCGCGCTCTGCTTCTCGGTGACAAATTAGGTTGATTGATTTTTACGCTCTGCGGGACGTGGGGGAGTTTAGTGATGGTGTTAGGGGGGTGAGGAGGGGGGGTTAGTCCCGTGCTTGACGCGTGCCTCTTTTTGCCCCATCTGTTGCACCGGTCCAACTGTCACCCACACCGCGCGCCAGTTTTTTTTTTTTTGGTTGGGGGGGAGGAGAGGGGGAATTCCCACGGGGCGGTCTGACTCGTGCTGGTGGCTGCAATCCCCAGGAGGAAGTGGACAATGATAAGGCTCTAACAAGCTTTAAGGGGACACACATCAGAGCTGTTACAGCCTGGGAATCTGACAGCGCACAGGAATGATGGCGTTAGGAAAATTGCATTTATATTTGTGCGATATCCAAATGACGGTCTGTGCGTATTTTAACGGTAATTTCCTCCTTTGGATGAATATGTTTCCTGATGTTGATAAAGACACGCTGTTGTTTGTTTATTGTCTACACAGCAACTTGCAGAGCTAATAATAATAATAATAATAATAAGAAGAAGAATATATTGAAATTAAATCATATGCTTGTGATTCTTTCGTTTAGAAAAAAAATAAATTCACAGTTAGTTTGAATAAATACCTCAAATGTAAAGGCACTAATCACTAAAATGTGCTAATTTTTGTGTAAAATATTGCACTGACTATTCATCAATCTCCTTGAACTGATATTTAAACCGGCTGTATGCTATTTCTTAATATTCCTGTTTGATT